TGCAGTATCAAGTTTGAATATTTATCCTTATCCTAAAGCAAAGATCAGTTCTTAGGTTGAAGGTGACAGCCCCAAGAAATTGGGAACAAAAATTTAAGTCTATTTTTAATAAGGCTACAGTAGGAGTGAAAGGTTTACAATGCTACATCTAACACAGACAGGGTAACTGTTTTCTGAGCTTCATCACCAAAGCTCCATGACTGTTTTGATGGGTTTTCTCCACTGCCAGTGAAGTGATGGAGAGGAAAGCAAGCAGGAAAGAAATCAGGACACTGAGGACAGCACACAGACTGATCCTAAAAAGTGTCAGAGATGGATTAGAGAGAGGAAAATAGAAAATGTAGGATTCAGTCAGTTCACAAATGTATTACCTGTGTGATAGAATTTTTTTATAATGAGATCATCTTCTGGGATATGTTAACCAATTCTGTGTTTTTTCAAACCATTCTCAATGATTGTACTAATGCAAACTGATCTGTCAGTCTTTCTTTTTCCAGATGAAATAATATTAATCTTTGGCCTGAACTCACATATCCCATTTTAATGTGAAAGTTAGTGTTTAAGTTTTTCTTTCTGACCATTTTCTTTCCTGCAAGATTAGGTAGCTCATTTCCAGATGCTATTTTTTTTTTCCATGCCTGATATTTACCACCTCTCTTTGTACCCAACATCAAGCATCCATATGTTAATGAACATCCTTGAAGTGAGACAGGGTGGGTGCCTGGTGGGATGACTGCACATGAAAAGGTAATTGTTTAAGTATATTTTATTGGTTATGCTATTACAGTTGTCCCATTCTTTTTTCTCCCCTTTATCTCCCTCCACCTGGTACCCCTATTCCCTCTAGCCCTCACCTCCCCCTTAGTTCATGTCCATGGGTCATGATATGGGTAATTGGTCTTTGGCTTCTCCATTTCCTGTGTTACTCTTAGCATCCCCCTGTCTATTTTGTACCTACCAATTGGGTTTCTTATTCCTGTACCTTTTCCCCTATTCTTCCCCCTCTTTCCCACTGATAACCATCCATGTGATCTCCATTTCTGTGATTCTGTTCCTGTTCTAGTTTTTTGCTTAGTTTGTTTTTGTTTTTGTTTTAGGTTCAGTTGTTGATAGTTGAGAGAAGGTAATTTTGATCTTTTCTTAGATAAGTCCCTTTAACATTTCATATAATGAGGACTTAGTGATGACGAACTTCTTCAACTTCACCTTAGCTGGGAAACACTTTATCTTCCCTTCCAGTCTAAATGATAGGTTTGCTGGATAGAGTAATCTTGGATGTAGGCCCTTACTTTTCATAACTTTGAATACTTTTTTCCAGCCCCTTCTTGCCCATAAGCTTTCTTTTGAGAAATTAGCTGGTAGTCTTATGGGAATTCCTTTGTAGGTAACTCTCTGCTTTTCTCTTTCTCTTGCTGCTTTTAAGATTCTTTCCTTATCTTTTATCTTGGGTAATGTAATTATAATGTGTCTTGATGTGTTCCTCTTTGAGTCCAACTTGTTTGGGATTCTCTGAGCTTCCTGGACTTGTATGTCTATTTCCTCCGCTAAAGTGGGGAAGTTTTGTCTCATTATTTTTTCAAATAAGTTTTCGATTTCTTGCTCTCCTTCTTCTCCTTCTGGCAACCCTATGATTCAGATGTTGGAACATTTAAAGTTGTCCCAGAGGTTCCTGAGCCTCTCCTCATTTTTTTTTTTTTTTAATTCTTGTTTCTTCATTCTGTTCCGGTTGAATGTTTATTTCCTCTTTCTGTTTCAAATCATTGATGTGAGTCCTGGTTTCCTTCCCTTCGCTGTTGATTTCCTGTATATTTTTCCTTTTTTCACTTTGTATAGCCTTCACTTCTTCCTTTATTTTGTAGTTGTACTCAATCATTTCTGTGAGGACTCTGATTACCAGTGTTTTGAACTCTGCATCTCATAGGTTAGCTATCTCCTTATCACTTAGTTCTTTTTCTGGAGTTTTGATCTGTTCTTTCATTTGGGCCATATTTCTTTCTCCCAGTGCACCAGTCTGAAGGGATGTTTCTTCTTTAACTCCTTGGCTGTCAGACTTCAGTTTGATTTTCTGGCAATTTTGGTTGTATTTTTGTTTTTAAATTGGTTGTTTCCTTCTTTTGGTTGTGCGAGGAGGTGAAGCATATCTACCTATACCTCTTTCTTGGCCATAACTCCCTGGAAAAGTAATTTGTAAACAATGTTTTAACACTGACAATCTTAATAGCCTTAAATAGAAGAACTTTGCTTATGGAATTTTTAAAATCTCCCCTTAAAATAGAGAAATGATTTGAAGAAGTACTCATTTGTCTACCTCCACCTCCACAGTAAGTATTCCACAGAAAAAGGAACCAAGAAAGAACAGGAAGATCTCACTGAATATTTAAATAGTAGGTTCAAGGTTGGGGAGTAGCATCAGCAAGAAGAAAGGCTGATGAAATGAAGGCAAAGTGTCACTGATTTTTGCCTCTCTCCTTGGAGAGAAGGTTGCTGATTTGGAGTCACTCTGGCCAGCCCAAGACCATCTGACATGAAGATATAACTCTGAGGTAAGATGCCCTGGGCCAGCAGGTTTATCTTAGCGCTATTATCTGAATAGGCGATCTAGGCTTACTTTAGAAGAGCTTCCAGAGGTTCTCATTCTTCTTCCCACAAGCAGAAGGGGTTTTTCCTGAAACCTGCTTGTGCCAAAGGTATCACAATAGCAAGGCCTCAAAATAACTATAAATCTGAGAGTTTCTGCCTCAACAGATGGACATTTAGATTTTTTCCAGAAATCCCTGATGGTACTATAGAATTCAGTAGAAAAGCTTAGGGAGGATAGAAATGTGGCCTGCAGCATTAAAAGGACAAAATGAGACTCTTGCTAGTCTTACATAACAAGTTGAGTAAAATAATAGGTCAAAAGTTATTGAGTGCTGAATATGTGCCCATGAAGGGAGCTAAGTGATTTATAGACATTATTTCATTTAGTCCTCATAAAAACTCATTGTGGTTTAGAAGGTGAAAGAGACTCAGAATTAAGAGTCCAAGGTCACAGAGCTGGTAAGTGGTAGAGGTAGGATTGAAATCCAGTTCTGTGGGATTCCAGAGCCCGAGCTCTGCCCCGCTAATTTACACTCAAGTACTTTAAAACCATTTTAAAAGATGTTTAAGGATGATGAAATCTCCTGGTTATGTGAAATAAATCAAAGTTCCTGGGAAACTTTATATCATGTTCATAAAAAGTTGGTAGTGTCCAACATTGATTTTGCTCAAATTTTACATTACTTTCAGACAGCCTTCTAGAGTTCAGCCACACATTTTTTTTAATCTTTAATATAATTCAGATACCCAGTTTTCTCATATGCACATACACAAAGAGACACCATACACACATACACACAGCAGACAATGAACACCACCTGTACATACACTACTTAAATAAATAAACACAGAATGCAGACACCACACAGAGACCATACACAAATACACGCACACAAATACACCACAGATAACACAGATCTCACACACACACAGCTCTGTACATACCCCATGGAGCCAAAACACATCACAGAGACACAGCTTAGAAACACACACAAAGACCATATAGCCACATACAATACATACACACAAAAATACTGCAGGTATAATGACAGACCACAGGCAGACACGCCATACACACACAGTATCAGAAATTCTCCATAGGATTTTGTTTCTCCTTGTCTACTGTATCCTAGTTTCTATCCAGTTTCCAGCATATTCATCATCTCATTCACATCTTACTTCCTGCTGCTGGTCTCTTCTCTCTATCCCACTCCATCCCACATATGGAACACAGCTCTTTCCCTTCCATTTCCCAGAGCAACCACCAACATAAGACATTTGCTATTAATGAGAAGGGACATACACCATGTCAAAGCATAGCAAATGGATTAAGACTGAGGATTAGATACTACTCATTTTAAATCTCCTGTGTAATTTCTGCACTTCTGAATATTTTATTGACCCTTCCAGCCTCCTGAAGACCATCCTCATTCATCCTCCCTCTTCTCCTGGTCCCAGGACCTTCACACAGCTTTTCTCGGGTTCCCATTTGTTCACTCACCATTGCCTGTCCATTCCGTGCCCTCAGACTTCACTTTTTATTCCCAAAGCAGACCATTTAGGTATTTGCCTGAAGAGAACCATTTGTTCTTGAGCCATAGTGAGAGATGACGATTAATAAGAAATTTAACCCTTTAAAGCCTCTCTTTCTCATGTGTTTGAATGTTTGCCTTTGTGATGAAACAAAGAAATGATTTTCATATAATGTTTCTGGCATACAACAAATATTGAATAAATATCAGTTCCTTGATTTCTCTCTTTCTTTTCCCTCTCCAAGTAAGAAAGAACCACTACTATATTCTACAATACACTTTCCTCCTTCACTGATGATTCTGAAGACAGTCTTGCAGTGCCATAGGGCTCCCATAAGACTATCAGTTCTTACTGCTATGTGCTCAGTGTTAGAATACTATATAATAGCATTTATTATATATAATTAGTTCATGGAATAAATCTAATTATAGCTCCCTGTGATTACTAATTTGCAGTAGTAGTTATTATTTTTGTTACTCGATTTCATTAGCAATATTTGCCCTGACCAACTCTTAGTGAGGTAAAACTGATTCTACATTGCCTTTTTCAAGAAGCTGTGCCCATCAAGAAGAATCAGACATCTGGTTAGTGTCTAAATAGAAGTATTTAACTACTTAAATTAATTACTTAAACTCAAAATATCCATTTATATTAATTTCATATCATTTGTAGTATTTCTATCTTGATGTTCAAATTAATCTGATCTTAATCTTCACACAAAACAAAGACATCAAGAAAAATATCTGATGTGTGCAATTATAGAAATACTATGTTTGCCATTTTAAACATATTTTCATTTAGTCAATTGCTATTTTAATTTCTATATTTAACCTTTTTGTTTGCTTCTCTTCTGTTCTTATTTTCAGTTTCTCATTCTGCCAGTAATTATGGATCTGATCAACTCTTCTGATTACCAGCTCAATGTCTCTACATTAGTAAGAAACAGTTCTCACTCTCCAGCTCCGGCCTCAAAAATGATCATTGTCATTCTTTTGTTCACATCATCAGTAATTGGTATTATAACCAATGGTCTCTATCTATGGATACTAAAATTCAAGATGAAAAAGACTGTGAATACTCTTTTGTTTTTTCATTTCATTCTCTCACACTTTATTTCAACATCAATTGTTCCATTTATAACTATCTCCTTCCTTCAGGACAATCACTGGAGCTTTGGAACTGCCATGTGCAAAGTCTTCAACAGCATTTTGTATACAGGACTATTCGCCTCTGTTTTCTTCCTCTCGGCCATCAGTGTTGATCGTTATATTCTCACTGTCCACCCAGTGTGGTCACAGCAGCACCGAACCCCGCGCTGGGCTTCCAACATCATCCTAGGAGTCTGGATCTTTGCTGCTGCCCTCAGCATGCCCTATTCGTTTTTCAAGGAGATGCATGATGACCATAAAGGAGGGGTGACCTGCCAAAATTACTATGATGTATCTACTAACAGGGAAAGCAAAAAGTTGCAAGCATTAAAGAAATGGATTCATATAGCCTGTTTCACCAGCAGGTTCTTGCTAAACTTCCTTCTGCCTTTCTTCATCATCACCTTTTGTTATGTAAAAGTAGCCAACAAGATGAAAAAAAGGAGCTTATTTAAATCCAACAAGCCCTTCAAAGTCATGACAGCTGCCATTATCTCTTTCTTTGTGTGTTGGATGCCCTACCATGTATACCAGGGTTTACTTCTCACTGACAACAAATCTCTACTTTTACAGTTGACTATGATACTTGCAGTGATTACCACTTCTTTTAATATTGTCTTTTCTCCCACACTCTACCTATTTGTTGGGGAAAATTTCAAAAAGGTTATCAAAAAGTCCATTCTTGCTCTGTTTGAGTCAACATACAATGAGGATCCTTCTCCAGAAAGGACACAAAACCTAAATTTACAAGACTACATTTAAAGTCAAGGTCCTAAGACAAATATGAGCTCTTAGTCAATTACACACCAAAGATATACCCTCTGTTTTTGTATAATATAGTTCCTATATTAGAGGGATAGCTGGGCAGTACTGCAGTTAAATTACAAATATTAAAAAGGCTATAAGAAAGGTAGCAATAGGTGATGTTACAAATGTAAGTTTGTCCCTTTTTTTTGTTGTTGTGGTAAAATACTGACCCTTGAACAACACAGGTTTGGACTGCACAGGCCCAAAATGTATACACAGATTTTTTTTCAATGAATACATTCAGCACTGTAAATGTATTTTCTCTTATGATTTTCTCAATAACATTTTCTTTTCTCTAGCTCACTCTATTGTATAAATACTATATATAAGGAATGAGGGGGCTTGGCGAAAAAGGCAATGGGATTAAGAAGTGTAAATTGGGCCCTGGCTGGTATAGTTCAATGGATTGAGTGCTGGCCTGCAAACCAAAGGGATGCTGATTCAGTTCCCAATCAGGGCACATGCCTGGGTTACTGGCCAGGTCTCCAGTAGGGGGTGTGTGAGAGACCACTATACATTGATGTTTTTTCCTTTTTTTCCTCCCTCCCTTCCCCTCTTTCTAAAAATAAATAAAAAAATATATTTTTAAAATTTTTTAAAAAGAAGTGCAAATTGGTAGTCACAAAATAGACACAGGGATATAAGGAATAGCATAAGGAATGTAGTCAGTAATATTGTAATAACTATGTACAGTGCAAGGTGGGTTCTTGAAATATCAGAGGACCACTTTATAAAGTATATGATTGTCCAACCACTATGTTGTACATCTGAAACTTATACAAAATAATATTAAATATAAACTGTGATTGAAAAATAAAAATTTTTTAAAGATTACATTATATAATACATGTAACATACAAATACGTAAAATTGACTGTTTATTTTACTAGTGAGTCTTCCAGTCAACAGTAGGTTATTACTAGTTAAGTTTTTAGGAAGTCAAAAGTTATCCATTGATTTTTTTGAACACACAAGGATTTGGAAGCCCTAGTACTCATGTTGTCCAAGGATCAACTGTATAACAAAATTTGCAATTTTCACCATTTCATTTTTACCACTTTAAATGTAAATTTCAGTAGCATTAACTACATTCACAATATTTGCAATCATCAACACTATTTCCAGAAGTTTTTATCACCCCAAAGAGAGACCCTGTATCCATCAAGTAATAATTCCTCATTCCTTCCTACCTCCAGGCCCTCACATAATCTCCGATCTATATGTCTCGGTGAATTTGTCTGTTCTAGGTATTCCATATAAGTGCAATCATACAATATTTCTCTTTTGTGTCTGGCTTATTTTATTTAGCATAATGTTTTCAAGGTTCATCCATGTTGTAACGCATATCAAAACTTCATTCTTTTTATGGCTATATAATATTACTTCCATTGTATGTATATACCATGTCCTGTTTATTCTTCTCTTGAGGGACATTACAGTTGTTTCCACCTTTTGACTATTGAAAATAATGCTACTATGAACACTGGTGTATTGTTTGAGCCTCTGTTTAAGTCCTTGTTTTCAATTACTTTGAATTATTTTTAAGTGCTGGGTTATTTGGTAATTCTGCTTAACTTTTTGTGTAGCCACCAATCTTTTCCATAGTAGCCATAATATGTTAAATTCTCACCAGCAATGTACCAAAGTTCCAGTTTCTTCACTATTTTTAGATTATACTTTATTACTTTACTATTATTCTTCACTTATTTTCCTTTTTTAGTTTGTAGCCATCCTAGAGAGTGCAAGGTGGTGTAAATGTGAGTCTTAACCTCTCATTTTTAAGGCTATAAGAATATCGATTTCTAAATACCGATAGTATCCATTGATTTGAATTCTCTGTCACAGAATCTTCTGTAAATAAATATTTGAACAGAGATCCATCTTTATGTAGATAGTACTGAAGTTATTTAACTGGTATGAACAAAATTTAACATGGAGATGACAAGGCACTCATCTTGTCACATCCATGTTAAAGTATAAAGACATTTATACTTTAATGTTTAAGTATAAAGAAATCTTAAATGTCTTATTTAATACCTACAGATTAAGCTGTCTCAGAAATATAGAACTAAGGCATTATAAATGTTTAAGAACCTGCCTGGGTAATGTCATGGTATATTTAATTTTAGAATAGCAATAACAATATTAATATATCTTCCCTGGCATTGAAGTTTTGCTTCAAGTTTTTGTAGTACATTATAACACCTGAATTACATAAGGCCATGTAGTATCATTGACCTATTACCTTTAGTCAGTTAGTTCTACCTATCAGTCAACAGATAAATAAATAGATAGTTCAATTAATACAGAATGGAGATAGGCCACAATGCACACTCAGTCCCTATATTCAGGTTAGCTTTGTACAAACCATTTCAGGCATGTATCTTATTCAGAAATCCCCAAAATGGGCGATATTAATTACAAGGAGTTATAGAAAGGAAGGTAAATTAACCTTTGTTATTACGTTTTTATAGAAGGAAAGTAATAGTAGTTTGATGTCCTAAAGATCCTGCTAACTGACTTAGTATCACTGCTTCCCTGGGCAACTAGAGGCTGGGGTTCTATCACTTTAAATATGAGGGACAAAAAGCGTGGGTAGATGAAAACTTTCATTTTTGGCCCGTATTTCAAGTTTTTGGAGTCTGAACACTTTCCCAAAGAGGAGAGTAGGATTGATAACCAAGCTGTATCTCTGAGAGTCACTGCAGCGGGAAGGGCCCGCGCTTCTTCTCTCCCTACACTCCCCCAGCTCCTGACAAGCCTGCTGAAGCTTATGATGTAAGACTTAAGGAAAGAAGTTACCAAATGGAAACATGATATTTTGGAAACAAGATCATGCTTTGGGAACTCGTTAAGGGAGAAACGCCCAGAATTTTGGTTCTTCCCACAGATGCAGTGAAGAATTACGGGTCCGTGAGCCTATTCGCGTGCTAGCAAAATTTACTAGTGCTAAATTCTAATGGGAAAACAAAAGCAAGGGTGGCAAAAGCAGGGTGGCCAAAAACGGTGGCCAGAGGCCAGCTAGCTAGAGGCCTCCCGTGTGGCAAAAGAACCAAGAGGCCAAGAGAGTGAGTTCTTTGCACTTATGTAGTTGGTGGTGTGGGCGTGAAGAAGTTACATTTTGATTGATGGGTAAAAGTGGTGCCAGCTTCCCCCAGGGAGATGTGATTACCCAAACATAGGGAGGTATGGGGGTCTATTAGCCCGAATCCTTTTCTTGCTCCAGACACTGTTTGCCCATTTTGCATATGTGAAGGAAGGCAGGCAATTAACCAAAATTGTGTATGGGACCTTTCTTTGGGCACTGTAGACCCCTCCTTTTTACCCCTTCCAGGCCTTGGGATGAGTACACAGTCTCAAGGTTTTCTTTTTCCCAACTAGTGGAGACGACACACACAGACTTCCAAGGGTTTCCCCCCTGCACTATCATAATTTTACTGATGTTGTTCAGAATACTGGGCAGCCTTATCAAACCACGCTCAGGATTACTGGTTCAGCAGGTGAACTTTTGCTTATAGCCTCCTGCATTAAGTTCCTCATTAGATTGCAATGGCCCTGCCTTTATTTTCCCTCTGGCCACACATTCCACCATGACATTTAAACGGAGGGGTATACACAAAGTGAAAAAAAGATAGAACTTGTAAGCAGGAGATTTGGGTGGTGATCTGGCTTAGCTCCTAGCTTGGTGTTTTAGTGGGGGCAGGTTATCCACATTTTCTGGATAATGTGGATACAACTGAAATTACTTCTCAAATATAAAACACTATATAAAAATAACATTATTTAGAGTTTTTATAAAAGGTCACTTTAAATTTTAAGAAAATAGGGTGTAAACTTTTAAAAACTCTACCAAAATGTGTTTTTTAATCATTTTTTATTTTTAAATTACGGTTGACATACAGTATTTTATTAGTTTCAGTTGTATACCCCAGTGATTAGACATTATATAACTTACTAAGTGATCTTCCTGATGAATTTCATATCCATCTGACACTATACATAGTTATTAAAATATTATTGACTATATTCCCCATGTTGTACTTTACATCCCCATAGTCATGGTAAAGTTTGGTAACTATCAATTTGTGCTTTTTAATCCCATCATATTTTTCACTTATCCCCTCAATCATCTCCCATCTGGCAACAGTCAAATGTTCTCTGTCTATAAATCTATTTCTGTTCTGCGTGTTCATTTATTTGGTTTTTAGATTCAATTTTTGACAGCTATGTCCTTATTGCCATTTTATTGTTCATATTTTTATCTTTTTTTCTTCTATAACGTTTCATGAAATACTGGTTTGGTGGTAATGAACTCCTTTAGCTTTTTCTTGTCTGGGAAGGTCTTTATCTGTCCTTTGATTCTAAGTGATAGCTTTGCTAGGTATAGAAATATTAGTTATAAGTCCTTGCTTTTTCATCACTTTGAATATTTATCTCTTGCCAGTCTCTTCTGGCCTGCACAGTTTCTGTTGAGAGACCTGCTGACATTCTATGGGAGCTCCCTTGTAGCTAACTAACTTCTTTTCTCTTGCTGCTCTTAAGATTCTCTCTTTATCTTTAACCTTTGGCATTTTAATTATGATGTATCTTGGTGTGGGCTCCTTTGGGTTCATCTTGTTTGGGTTGGGATTCTTTGCACATGTTGACTTGTACATCTATTTCCTTCACCAGGCTAGGGAAGTTTTCTGTCATTTTTTTAAAACAGGTTTTGAATTTCTTGCTCATTTTCCTCTCCTTCTTGCACCCTCATTGTGAATGTTGGTACACTTGGGTACACTTGAAGTTGTCACAGAGGCTCCTTACACTATAGTCATTTTGGGGGGGTGTCTGTTTGTTTGTTTGTTTGTTTTTTGCAGTTATGATTGGGTGTTTTCTGCTTCCTTATGTTACAAATTGCTGTTTTAATTCATCTACTCTACTATTGATTCCCTATAACATATTCTGCATTTCAGTTA